CGTATATGTGTCAGGTGATGTAGGTTCTGGGAACCAAACCCCGGTCTTCTGTAAGAGCAGCAAATGCCTTTAACTGCTAGTGTTGGATCCCCGCACTGGGGAGACCCCCACTCGAATCCCGGTGCAACGATAGATCCACAAATCACCACAAAGCAAGAGGCTTTATTCCGGTTCAGCCAGCTGGGGTTCAACTCCTACCCCACAAAGGAGGAGGAAAGAGAGCCCCAAACCCAGTTTTACATGAGCTTATCAAGAAAAAAAAACTGCACTTGTGGGAGGGGGAGAGGGTCTGGGTTAGGGGCTAGCAGGCTCCTTATTGGTTGGGCCCAGGTGGCCGATTGTTGGCCGGGCTCATGCTCCTTATCTGGCACCTGCATCTGTGTTTCTAGGAAACGTTTTGCAAGCCCATCCCCAGGGGTCCTTCCTGGTCAGGAGTGCTATTCTGGGACCTAGCGCAACAAAAAATTTTCCATCTTAACACCAGGCCATCTGTCCAGGCCAATGAAAAAGTCACTAAATTGTAGTAGTGGTGGTGGTGGTGGTGGTGGTGGTGGTGGTAGGAGTAATAATAATAATAATAATAATAATAATTAATAATAATAATAAGTGAGATAATGCTCTTGTTCACTGTAAAGATTTGTCACTCATGTTGGCTTCAGAAAACGCTGATTGGCCAATAGTCAGGCAGGAAGTATAGGCGGGGCTACCAGACTAGGAGAATTCTGGGAAGATAAAAGGCAGAGAGTGAGCAGCCAGCCAGATGCGGAGAAAGCAGGATGAGAATGCCTTACTGAGAAAAGGTACCAAGCCGCGTGGCTAAACATAGATAGAATTATGGGTTAATTTAAGTTGTAAGCGCTGGTTAGTAATAAGCCTGAGCAATAGGCCAAATGGTTTATAATTAATATAAGCCTCTGTGTGTTTATTTGGGACTGAACTGCTGAAGGACTGGCCAGGACAGAAACCTCCATCTACAATAACACAAAAAATAAATTCATACAAGCAGACTATTACCAAGAGCACATCATAGTCCATGGTGCAGCCCTGGTACCATTTCCTTCCCTGCCCACAGCTGCTGTTTAATCTATCACTTCTCAAGCCCACCCCACTGTCAGCCTTGAATTTTCAGTAGCTGGCTTTGCTTTTCAGAAGCAACAGAGATTCAGACATGAACACTAACCACCAGGCAAACTCGCCATGAGCAGACAGCTGTCTCTGCTGCTCCAAGAGAGCAGATATGCTGGTCCCATGCATACTATTCCTTCTGGACCCTTGTGTCAATTCTGAAGTCTTACTCATCAGTTCACCCCCGCCCCACCTCACTGCACCAGGCCCGTCTCCCTCATCCAACAACAAAAGGGAAGTGATTCTCAGGTTCCTTTCTTCTCCTTTACATCCAAACTTGTAGAAAAGATAATCTTTTTCCTTTCCTTACATATTACTGCCCTACCTAGTGTCTGGCCTCCACCACCCATCAACCCATCAAGCCATCAAGGACTTTCTTTTTATTACGTGTGTGTGTGTGTGTGTGTGTGTGTGTGTGTGTGTGTGTGTGTGTTTATTTATTGTGTGGGCACATGCCATGGCATGCTTGTGAAGGTCAGAAGACAAGTTGTGAGTATCAGGTGATTATTTGCATACACATTAAATATTGATAAGTATGGCCTTTTAAAGTTCATTTAAATCCTTACAATTCCATTTCAACAATCAAGTGCTGGATGGTGAACTACTCAGAAACTAAATGCATTTTCCCAGTAGGAAAATGCCCTTGTGTCTGGGGTAATTAAAGAAGGGTTCACTGCCCCATCTGCTGAGCAGTGGAGCAGTGTAGTCATATCAAAGGCAAGCTCTAGGATCAGAGGTTTCTAGCTGGCCTAGCAGGTGGAAGGGGGGTTGGCTAGAGCTGCTCCCTTGGGTTCCACTAAAATATCCCTGAGCCCTGCTTTTCGGAAAGAAACAGGTCGCATACTTTTCCCAAGAAGCATATTCTGGCTAGAATGGTCTGAGCTTCCTAACAGAACTCCAAGAGCCATGGCAGCACAGGAAGTGGACTGGAGATTAGGGGACAGTTTTGCAACAGGAAGGACATCTGGGTTGAGCATTGAAGGCAGAGTGGAGTAAAGGTAGCCGAATCAGAATCAGCCTAGCTGGACAGAGCACAAGGAACACCAGCAGGTGGAATGGAATGAGAGCCCTAGGAGAGCTCAGAGCCAGGGACTGTGGGAGCCTCTGATGTTGCCGGGGAATTTACATGTAGGCAACAGGAAGCCACCTATGCTTTCAGTCAGGGATAATATGATTACACGTGAGTTTTTTATTTTTAAAGTTAAATTTTTATTTATTTATTTTTGAGAATTTCATACACAAGTTCTGTGTTTACATCATTTCTACTCTGTTTTTGTTTTGTTTTGAGACAGGGTCTCTCTACACAGCCCTGGCTGTCTTGGAACTCACTATGTAGATCAGGCTGACCTCAAACTCACAGAGATCCACCTGCTTCTGCTTCCCCAATGCTGGGATCAAAGGTGCGGGCTACAATACACAGGCTTAGTGGTTACTAGCATTGACTGTTATTCTAGAGGACCCAAGTTAGACTTGGAGCATCAACGTGGTGGGGCAAAACCAATTTCAGTGGATCCGATGCCCTCTTCTGGCCTCGTTGGGCATTACATGCACGTGGGGCACATCTATAATATGCAGACAAAATACCCATTATACATAAGACTTTTTTGAAAGTTTTAAAAACGATCTTTGATTTTTATTTTGATAATCAAGTTTGCATTTTGAAGAATGTGAACATGGCGAATTACCTTTGGGCCAGGTGGAATTTTATCCAGCTCACATCACATGTCTTGGCCCAGCTCTCACACAAAGGCAGAAAAGACACAGGAACACAGTAAATGCTCGGCTGGGATTTGAACAGCTTGTTTAGGAATACCATCTATATCTATGTGAAATGAGATAATGGCAGGGGTGTTTCAGTCTACTAACTTACTTGTGAACACTCCCCAAGGAAAAGTCAGTGAGAGCTTAGCTTTTACCTACCTCGTAAGCTTCAGAAGTATTTTCCAAATGTGCCAATATGCCAATATGTAGCTAGTGTTGGGCACCTAAAATGTGGCCTATGGTGCGAATGATATACACACAGCAGATTTTAGAAGCTTTGGATTTTGAAACCATATATGAATAATTTTACATTAGTTATTGAAACAAGAATATTTTGAGTTTAGTCTCTTTACTAAACTCTACTTGGTTCCCATGTTGGAGTATACCACCTCCTTCCCGTATGGATCTTGGCTGACAAAACACTTAAACTTTTGTATCTATCACATTATGTTTCTTATGTATTTGGATGAACTGAAACTTTTCTCTCCCATGTGCATACACACAAAGCCTAGCTCTATAATTTCATGTTTTTATTTATATCAGATGACCCATTTCTGCTGATTGGTTGCTCTTGTAGGTTCATAGGAAAAAAAAAATAAACACCACCTTGCACAGGAACAGGGGTTAGCAGAACAGATTCTGAGTCCTGAGTGAAAGTCTAGAGATGAATAATTATTAACTATAACCAATGAATGTCCAATCCAACATTAGAATTAATTGATAGCAACTCAACCTAAAGAAGATCCCTTCCCTCCAATAGAACTGAGGTTATGTTGTACCTAATTGTCTCTATTATTTTTTTTTTTTTTGAACTTGGAAAACAAGACAAAAAATATGACTTTTGTTCTCTGAAGGAAACTTGTTTTGAATTCCAGCATCTTGGCAGTGGTGGTGACAGGGGAGTGTTAAAAGGGGGAAAATGCAGTCGTGGTGGCCCACGCCTTTAATCCCAGGGAGGCAGGAGCAGGTGGAGATCTGTGTTTGAGGCCAGCCTGGTCTTCAGAGTGAGTGAGTTCCAGGACAGCCAGGGCTACCCAGAGAAACCATGTCTTGAAAAGCCAAAACAAAACAACAACAACAACAAAATAATAATAACAAAAACAAAAGAAAAAAGATAGACTCGAGGAAGATGTAAGTTTGAGGATGCTCTACCATGAGCATTGGGCGTGGTAAGAGCCATCTTCTGACTGTTGTGAGAACAGAATGGGAAGATGGACACAGTGCACCTAAGCACAGAACATAACCACAGATGCTCAGTCGATGGGCAGCTGCACATTCAACCGTGAATAACAGAAAAGACTTAAAAGAAGGAAAAATGGCTTGACAACCTAAGAGATGGGGACACTTGGCTTCTAGTTTATGGGAAACGTTCTTTTCTGAGTGTCCAGTCCCCAGATCAGAGATGGACAGACAAGCTTGGGGATAGGGTGAGAATATATCACTGCTCGAGTCTGCTCAGCAGTTAATTCTTGCAGCAATACTCATAGGAAAGGTACATGGCCTTTCCACTTATTTATTACCCCATGAAACACTCCATGAAATAAGGAAATAAGGCGTGTGCTTCATAGTAGAGGGGTAGTGACACTTGATGTGTAAATACCCCAACAGGGCAAAAGCCTGCCATCTCTCACTAAATTCAGTTGGGACAATAAGATGTGTTGTGGCCCTCAAATCCAGTGAGTTATCTCTGTGGACCCAAGTCTACTTAGTGATCAATGGAATGCTTTGTGGTTTGAGAAAACCCATGTATGGCCTTGTCCCCAGCCAACTTCTTGGTTATAGACTGCTGTAAAATCGTGGCATAGGGGCCGGAGAGGTGCCTCAAGGTTAAGAGCACATATTGCTCTTGTAGGGGATTTCAGTTTGACTTCCAGCACCCCCACCCGGCGGTTCACAATTCCAGTTCCGCCTCTGGCCCTCCTCTGGCCACCATGCTCATTGTACTCCTGTGCACAGACCCAAACATACATACATAATTAGAAACAAAATCTTGAAAATAGTGATAATTGTATAACATTGTAAATGTACTAAATGCCGTTGAGCTGTACTGAGCTGAATGCAAATATGGTGAAGTTTGTGTTGTGTGTATTTTAACATAAAAACCACAAACTCTAAAAGATGCGTTAGAGGGTATATTTTTCCCAGTCCTGAGTGGTAGCTGTAGTTTTCTTCCTAACACATTCAATACTGTCATGCAATATCCCCTAAATGCCTATGTGTGCATCTGCTTTTCAAAAACCTCTGGCTGGTGTGTCCTACTTGAGAGGATTTCGGCATCTCGCAGGAATACACAGCGTGTTTCCGCTCTTATTTTCAGCAGATGATGAACCACGTTGGCTGCACAAGCACATAGGCTTCTTTGCAAAAACAAACAAACAAACAAACAAAACCAAACAAGCAAAACAAAAACAAAAACTCTTTGGCTTTAGCACATAATTGTCTTCTTTAGAAAATTCTCCTATCCAAAGGGCAGGCTTGGTTGGAAAGGGTTTGAGTCTCCTCTCTCCAAAGGCATGGCATGGCTTTCTTAGGAGGAGGGAGGGGGGTCCCAAAGCTGTGACCCCCCCCAGCTCACATTGGGTGCTGGGGCACGTGGGATTCTGGTTCTCTGAGACAAAGTTGATACTGTTCTTTTCTGAAGCACAGACCATGACAGTCGTGATCAGAAGCACAGAGGATGAAGGAGAAGGAAGGCAGCTGGGAATGACAAGAGAAGATGACCAGGAAGTCCTTGGGGCAGAGGAAGCCTAGTGTCCCCAAGGAAAGCCTTCAGCACAGCAAGCCTCCCAAGCTTCCTGCTGGCTGAGACTGTCCCTGAAAGCAGGGAAGGTGACTCTGGACCCCCTGCAGGGAGCAGGCTCCCTGGGCAAGCTGCTTTCTCACTCCAGACAGCAAATTTCAGGTGCTGCTGCTATACCGCCTCTTTCCAGAAATATGAAGGCTTGCTATAGATGAACAGGCCTATGATGGCCACAGCAACCAAGACCAGGGAGAAGATAACCATGAGGGTGACGTAGGTGGAGTGAGGGAGAGGTGGGGAGAGCGGCTGTTCAGCTGGGATCATGTTGGTCAAGTTCAGCATGTAGCCCAAAGTCCATCCTGCATTGCTGTCCTCGATCTGAAAACAGTAGGAAAAATCTCATTGTCCGTGGTCCAAAGAGATCATCTGTAGTATTCAGTTCATGTAACCCTACCCAGAAACTGAGCAGCCAATAGGAAGAGAACACCTTGTGTAGTTTACACAACAGATTAATTGTAGATGGTACATTGTGCGCACAGGGGGAACGGCATCAAAGCAAATGATTACAATAGGGTTTGGAGCCTTACAATTATATTCTAGGAGTTCAGGAAGTTTTCTGAATGCCTGTCCAGTTCACCTGCCTGGGAACACTGGATTCGAAGAGACCATGAGAGGTCTGCATTCTTTCTATTTCACGAGTTGGGGAAGTAAGTGAGAGGTGACAGGAAATAGGCAAAAAGATGAGGGAATAATGACTGGCTGTGCCTTTTACATCCTTGCCAGGCCAGAGAAGCCACGCAGATCCAGGGCCTCGTGAGGGAAAACTTGGAGAAAGAATTCCAGCAAGTCAACTTTATGAAGCTGGAAGACTCTGCGCCTCCCCTCACTGCTGATAAAGAATTCTTATTAAGTTATAAGGCGTTATCTGACCTTCTCACCTTTGGAAAAAATAATCTCCAGCCACTCAGAACTTACAGTAACATAGGCGGCATTTGACTAATAGGTTTGGAAAGATTTTGTTACAAGAGCTGTCCGTGATGACGTAGAGAAGTTAGCAAGTACAGGCAGGCCTAAAGAAGAAACCCAAAGCTCTGCACACAGTGTCATCAGGACTTGCTGATGTCCTTTCTTTGTGGCATTTCCTTCTGGTCCTCTGTGAACATGTTGCTGCTGCTTTTATAAAATAAGTAAGTTAAATAATAAATTGTATTTGGAATAATTCACTTAGTAATACTTTATCCCTGATGTTAACATTTTTCTGGATCATCACTTCCAGCACAGACTGCTTTTTTTTTTTAACCCATTTTAACCAATGACTTAGTATCCAAGTAATGGAATGATAGAGCAAAATGATATATACACCCTTAAGGCTTTCAGCACATATCGTCAAATAAGTAAGTAAGTAAGTAAATAAATAAATAAATAAATAAAATCTCCTAATAGGTTGTGCCAACTTTCTTCCAAACCATAACCCATATTGACAATAACGTGTAAAAGGACCATTTTTTTCCCTCTCAGTGTAGGATGGAAACCTTACCTGACTGCACATGTCAAAGAAGTCTCAAGATTTAGGGGAGTCATCGCCCGGATTTAGAGACATCAGATCATGCAGTAGCATTCCAAGAATATAAATCAACACTGCCTTCTCTATCAACCAGATTTAATATAGATTCTTCTAATGAATGAAACAGACTTATAAAATGGAAGGGGGCCTGGGATGTTAAAATGAGGGAAGATCCCTAAGGAAGACAGTATTATCACACGAGTATCTCCAGAGCTGCCACAGTCCTGATTCTATGAGTTGGTTCATCTAAGATCACTGTATTTTAAAAGGTGGTAAAATACTTTAGGCATTAGCAGTCATGAGGCTAGCAACACAGAGAACACTTTCCCTTCAAGCAGGTCGCAAAGCTGCTTGCGTCTTTATTCCTGGATGCCTGCAGGTGGCGCTGTGGCAAAGCACAGCAGGGAGGTTATGTCCTAGGTCACATGCTAGGCCAGGCTGGCAAGCGTCAGCCCCGTTAGCAAGGCTGATAAGAACCCATGACCGTGGTAAGAACCCATGGCCATCGTTTCCTGGATCACAAAGGGGCGGAAGCCTTTGGGGATTCTGAAGTCAGGACAGTGGCTAAATGAAATACTAGTAAATGAATAAACTGACTTTTTGAGAACCAGTTACAGCTGTGTGTGCAGAGAGGAGAAATGTGAATGCTGATGGTTAGCGATAACCTATAGTTGCCTGCTGTTCCCACAAGGGCCAGACACCAGTGTCAGCCGGTGGGATCCGGTGGATGGAACAGGCATCAAGTCAAAACTTGGACTCCCAGCTTTTCTAAGCTCAAACTGCTTTGCCACCAACTTCCACCCACACCCCCAACAGATTCCCAAGTTACCTTGCCCATAAAATGAATCTGCTCCCAGGAATTGCCTGTGAAGCTGTAGCCTTGTAGGAGGAGGGTGAGGATGTAAGCACCCGAGAAGCAGTACTCATTCAGGTATTTCTCCTTTACTGTAGGGTTAGCTGTTTTCACCTAGAAAGCAGTAAAATGAAGAAATTAGCAAGCCTGCAGAACAGGCCTCACTTTGTGGCCCCTTTTCCCTGTTAGATGCAGTAAAGAGACCAGGAAGGCCCTGGCTCACACAGGCCGGCCTGAAGGTTCGGCTCCCCCATGGGGCTGTGGGTGGTTCTTCAGTCCTTTGGGGTGCAGGATTCTCAGTTAGGGTCTCCCGAGGAAGTTTACCTCCTCAGGGCTCTCGGTGAGAACAGTAAATGTTATTAGGGAAAAGGTAGCTCCTTCCTTCCATCTAGAAGTTTCAGAAACAGCCTCAGGGTCTCATTCCATCCCTTATGCTTGGAGGAACTTATCAATTGTGCTAGTGTATTAGAAGCTGTGCAAACTTCGTCTGAAGGGAGTCCATTGGTCTCTGTTTAAACAGAGTCTCTTACATACTGTTCAGCTAGTCATTAGTGCAGAGTTTCTATGGCATCTTAAGGAAATAATGTCCAACAAATCCTTATCTTTCAGGTTAGCCCTTGGAGGACAGATAGAATCATCATCCCTTAGGAAGGTGTCATCTTTCACCCCAAGGATACCAACCCAGGATCTGCATATTCACTTGATTCTCTTTCTGTCTCTCTGCCTCTCTCTCTCTCTCTCTCTCTCTCTCTCTCTCACACACACACACACACACACACACACACATACACACACACACACACATCATTTCATTAAAAAAACAGCCTTGGAAGATGGTTTCAGAAGCATCTTGCAAATCAACGCTCAGCATGCTGACATCCTGCCTTCTATCTTCAGTTCCTCCTCTCCCTTTCACATCTGCATTATACAATGCAGTTGTCTTATTGAGTCTCCTCATTCATCCTGTTCTCTAGAGAAAAGAGGAAGAAACGCCTGCCTCCTTAACCTTACCCACTCTAGCTGCTGGAAAGAGCCCAAAAGCTTGCTTGGCTCCTTTCCCACTGAGAGAGCACGTGGCCAGAACACCACCAGCTCAGCACGCAGGTCTGTCTGCTGCTGTATTTCTCAGACAGGCCTTTCCTCCTGGCCACCAAGGGCTTAGAGACAACTACCATCTGTTAAATATGTATTATGTACTCAGAAGCATGCTGAACATTCTATATGTAATGTGTCCTTGCCTAGTCGTTTTCAAGAGCTTGCCCATCAAATGAAATGTGCCATCAGTAAATCCTTTCAGACTGTGATCTAATAAATGCAGGGAAAAAAACATTCTATAAGATACAATATTTCTTCATAATAAAAAAACTCTTAAATCAGATATATAAGGGACAGACACCAATATAATAAAGACATCTCTAAGGCAAACCAGCAGCCAAAATCACCCTGAAAGAAGGAAAAGTTGAACAGTTTTTGTATCTATGTTCATCAAGAACACTGGCACCTCCCTCTCCTGCCTTCCTATTTTCTCTATCTAGTTTTGTTATCAGTGTCACACTGAATTTTCAGAATGAGTTTGGAAGCATCACTTCCTATTTATTGTATGGGATGCTGCCTTTGAGTCTTCCTTAAAGGTTTAGCAGAATTCATCATTATGACTTTTCTTGCAAATCAAATTCAATAATATACTGCAGAGATCAAGAGCCATGATCAAGTTTGCTTTCATGCTAGAGGTGTGAGAATAATCCAACATGTGTACATCAATAAATACGATACAGCATATAGACAAAATCAAGCACAAAAAAGATACAACCATCTTAACAGATACATAAAAACCTTTTGATAAAATATAGCATTCCATTCCCTCCGATAAGGCCCTGAAGGAATAGAAAGAACATATCCCAACACATGAACGCTGTTTACCACCAAGCCATAGTCAACATTTTATTAAACGGAGAAAGGCTGAAAAGCATTGCCTCTGTACTCAGGACTGAGACAAAGGTGCCCACTCTTTCCACTGCTGATCAACACAGTGTGTAAATTCTTACCAAAGCAACAGCCAGAGATGATGATTATTCTGATATGATATGTGCATGATGCTTATACAATATTGAAATATCACATTGTATACCATAAAATATATCAATCAAAAAAATAAAACAAGAAAAAAAACCCACTTTTAAAAACAGGGCTGGAGAGGTGGCTCAGCCGTTAAAGGCTAGGCTCACAACCCAAAATAAAAAAATAAAGGGATGACTTTATCTTTGATGAGGGACTTCTGGGATGGTCTTTTTCATCCTACAAAAGGATAGATGTATCTGCTTCTTCCTTCTCTTGACCTTAACTGTTAAGGCCATGGCAGCCACTCTGTATCCATGACAACTGGACCGAAGAGGCAATGGCTGAGTTAGAGAGAAGCTACCCATGCAAGCAGCTGCTTGTTACAAAACTGTGTGTTAAGTAAGAAATGTAGCATGTTGCTTAAACCATTATAAATCATCGGGGAATGGTGATAAAGGCGTGCCGAGGCCCACTCTCTGGCCTTCTCTAACACATTTACCCGACCTTTGTCAAATCAGCATGATGTCACGGGCAGACTCACACCCTCCATGACATTGACGGCACACGGCCAATTTCACAGTTGTGGTTTCTGATCACTTACCTCCTCCCAAGGCTTTGAGCAAAAATTTTTTAAGGTTTCTGTCATCTTTTCCGGAGAGGAGACACTGTCTTTTGCCATCTTCTTAAAAAAATCCATCACAAAGTAGAAAGCCGAAAACGCCTGTGGGAGCAGAGTGCAGAGGGTCAGGCTGTGTCCAACAAACGGGGCCATCAACCGGGGCCCTTCCTGAGCACTAACAAGGGAACTTCTACTGGCAGTCTTGTAGTGTGTTTCAATTTCAGTTAAAATAAACCCAGTGAAGGTTATTAAAGATGCATAATTTAACATCTGACTTAACAAAAACAAGTAACTGTGTGCATTAGGCTCAGGTTTGGACTTTAGTCTCTATTCTCTATGTGCTTTTTGGTGTAGGATAAAGGTCCATAAACTGGGGATCATGGATCCATCACAAAGTATTGTATTATAAATTTTATGCTGATTCTTCAGTTCATTTCATGATGTCCATTTTTCTAATTGGAAGACCCTTAGCTTTCAACAGATTTTTCAGGAGTTTGTGGTCCCTTGAAGGGTTAAGCAAGGCTGGACTGTTGAAGACACTGTGCTAAATGAAATAAGCCAGTCACAAAAGAACAAATTGCCTTTGATTCTGCTGAGATGGCGGCACACCTGGAATAGTCTGGGTGGGGTGGGGTTGTTCTCAAGAAATGAAGACAGGGAAGGGAATGGCTTCCGAGCGTCCCCTCCGAGGACCTCTACCCTACGACCTTTGGAGGGTGTTCAGAGACTTCCAGACTGTGGGACATTGTGAATTTTGAAGATATTTCATCATTTACTACCACACACACACACACACACACACTAGATAAACCTAAGAAATCAAATTTTATGCACACCAACACTGATGTGTAACCATACAGGACACCATTAACATTCAAGGGATACTTAAATGGGGCAGTATCTGTGCATAATCCACAAGTCACTGCCCCCGTGTAACCACTGCAGGGTCGTTTGTGTTGCTTTATGGTGAGTCCCGTGTTGCAAACCTCAGGTTGACAGATGTGCCACACTGCATTCTTGTTCTTCCCATGAACTATTTATCTTTTCAGTGAAGTTTGTATTGCAATAAAAAGCTGTCTCTTGTTGTTCCTGCGTATTTCCACTGCATGTAATATGCATAACATAGAAAATTTATTTTACTTGACTGTCAAGGTCATTGGCAAGGCTCTGGTCAACAGCAATGTATTACTAGCAGCTAAGTTTTGTTTTTTTTTTTTTTTTTTTTTGTAGGGAGCTCAGAGTCTAGTCAGTAGCAAGAACAGAGAATAGACTTCAGAGAACCCAACTATCTAACTGTCATTATGGCCATCATGAGCAATGCAGCAAGGACCCAAAAGCCACCACTACCCTCTGAGCCAGCACTCAGGGTGTTCTGGCTCCAGTTGCTTCATATCAGTGGTGGTGGCAGCCGGTGGCCAGAAAGGACATTATGAAAGACTCGATGACAATAAAATGGTCCTAAGTAAGAAATGGATATGACTTCATCTGCAGAAGTGAGCAACACCAAAGATATTTGTACACCAGATTCCGCCAAAGATAACAGCCCATCAGTGTTCAGATGGACAGACAGAAAGAGTGTGGATCTCCCCATTGCTGGAAGAGAAAAGAGCGCACAGGCAGCAGCAACTGTGACAGGCTCTGCTGCAGTCCATCTCAGTGCAGGGTACATGCAGCAGATCGCAATTAGATGCATCCGCATAACAGGGTTGCTCCAGGCTGTCCCCAAAAGGACTGCTGGGAATGAACATGGAAGATGTTGGAAAGTGCTCCTGGAGGACGGCCCCACAGTGCTAGCCGTGCAGCACGGGGTCTCCGCTTTATTCCTCATGGAGAGTCTATGGACACTGAGCACAGGTGCCCAACCCCGTGTGGGGATTAGTGAGAATGCTAACAGACTGGGCACACAGCCGGCCGCAGAGTAGACCAGTGTGCAGAATCTCTACTTGGGGGGCGGGGGGCGGGGTACAGGTCACTACTCTGCAGGAACCTTCTTGCCAGAAACAAGCAGAGTGGGCAGCAGTAAAAGTGATAAGAAAAATCCAGATGAGCCCCGAGGCCAGCAAGCCCCCTCCAGGTCAGGGTCCCTTCATTACAACCACTAACACGGGTGCCCAGAAAACTCAGAACCACAGATGACAAAGACACAAAAGAAACTGATCTGGCAGCTGAGGATCCGTGCATGCTGAGGCTGGGCAGGAGTACAGCTGAGTGAGTACCAGCCAGTCTTCTGCACCGTCCCATAATCCAGCCACAGAGGGTGAGCATGAAGCCTTGGCAGGGAAAAGCAGAGGGAGAGTGAGGGCCAGATAAGGAGAACAGCATTATCTAGGCAGCTAGGCAGTGTGGGGCTTTGGACGTCTTCCCTAAGGATGTCTCTGTTTGGTAATAACACATAAGCCTTTGTAAGCCTTGATGTCTCTCACGGTACCTTTACAAATATCAGGTTGTTTAAAAATATCGGGTTGTGTCTGCCACATTGAGATTCTTTGAGAACTTTATTTTTTAATTTGTAATAAATATTTACAAAAGTGACTTCTTTCAAAGGAGGAGGCAAAGGAGGACAAAGGGGAAAGGAAGAGCAGGAAGAAGGGGACATCGGGTGGCACATGTCTATCATCCCGGCTAACTACTGGGGAGTCCCAGGCAGGAGGCTTGCGAGAAAAAGGCCAGCCTGGACAACTTAGTAAATCCCTGACTCAAAATTAAAAAGTGCCTATCAATCAATAAGTTCTCAAGTGATTTTTAAATTGTTGTATGTGGGTTTTCAACCACGTTGCCAGCAGAGCGCACATGTACGTGAAGCATTTCACATGAGCTTCCCTCATACTTCACTATTTCTGCTCCTCCTTGTTTATGTAAGCTGTACAATGCGTTCTTAAGAAACAATTTCTAAATTACCTCATAAATAACCCTCAACAGATGTTCTCTCTCTCCTCTGGATGTTTCTACTTTGCTTTGACATTGGATTCGATGTAGACGCCAAGGCCACAGTGCAGCCAGACTGGAGAACACGGGCTGATTTTAGGGCCGCATTCACAGGGTAAGAAAGATACAGATCATCGGCTGACTGCAATCTAGTACAGCCGCCCTCTCCACAGATGCTCTGGGCTTCACAACTCCACGCTAACTGGCTCTGAAAATGACAGGAATGCATTCTTCCCAAAGGGAGCATTTTTTAAAATTTGTCCTTCCTCTCTCCAACTAGAATGAAAAAGCCCTTAGCCAGCTCCAAAGACCTTAGCTATAATGCCTCCCTCTTGAGTCTCTTTTCTTCCTCTTTTGAAAGTTTCTCTCAAGCCAGGGAAGGTCCCTTGGTCCCCCAAAAGCCCTGTGGCAGGAAGCCAGGACCAGTCAGCCACATGGCACCCAGGTTTCGGGTTGGAATCAATACCAACAGCTGACCAACTTCTCAGCAGCCATTGCTGGCGTCATAGTCATCCCGAGAGCCGGCGAAGGGGAAAGCTGTGGTCTTGCCACAGTGCTGACCTGGGTCCATGGCTCTCCCCGTTGTTTCTCCACAGGCCATTCAAACTGAGAGCACCCATAGTTCACAGAATAGGGGTTCTGTCGGCCCTGGTGACAAAAGACCCTGTGCTCTCTCCCTGGAGCTCTTTGTGTGACATTAGATTGGACACGCAGACATTGCAAACAAACACACGAACCCCCCCTCATGTGAGGTCCAGAGGCAAAACTAACCGCCCCCCATCATCCATTCTGCTTTCTGAAAAGGGAGAAAGAATGACAAAGGCCCCTGTCCTTTGATCAGCACTGTGGGCAATGGATGTGTCTGTAACCACTGCTTTGCAGGTGGCACTTGGTGGATCGTAGGTAACTCTTACATTGTACTTTCTGAACTGTGGTTACAGACATGCTCGGTCGCAGGAAACACACAGGCAGTGTGAATAATTAACAGGTCAAGGGGCATCTCTTCCTCTCAGCTCAAGCACTTTATCCTGTTCTGCAGTGATTAGGACTGGAAGGGATGAGGAGTCGGGATCCAATAATCCCCCAGCCCTCCAAACTTTGAGGGATGCTTATTTACTATTATTAATAAAACGGGTGCTTATTTAAGTTCTTCCTTGGTGGTTCCTGATTTTCTGCTTCTTAAATGTTTCTTTCAGTGGAGTCGTCCCATGCCTGCTGCTATTGACACCCTTACCTGTGTGCTTAGCACTAAGAGCCCAGGTTTGTAGCCCATCCCTTGCAGCCAACTCTGAGGGTGTATAGCCTGCAGCTAGCCTCTGTCTTCTTTGCTTGCAGAACCCTCATTTTACCCAGGTAGAAGAAGCAAGCAATAGTTAACCCAAGCCAAACATGCTATCAATTCCCTTTATCAGATGGCTTCACGGTGTGCATTTCACCAAGGACTGGCCAACAGACCCTGAAGCTGCCCGCTGTCTCCAGAGCATGAGAGATGCACGAAGAGAAACCTCTCATCGCTGTCGTCATTCTCTTCCTACCTTGACTTGGCTGGTGAAGGTGTGATAGTTGGAGCAGTAGCCACACTCTTAGCACCATGGTAAAATCAAGGAGATAATGGGGAAGGTGATCCTAAACACTGACAATGTCAGGCCAAGCAACAAAGCCTGAGTTGTATCAAAACATTATTATGTGTAAGAAAAGAAGTTTGTATTAGTTAAATACTTTATAGGCACATCTTGTGCAGCTTGTAACCCAAAACACTCTAGCCGACATAGCTGCTCGTTTCACACACTTACCCCAAAACTCCCATGGAGAGGTGGCAAGAAGACCCCATTGAAGGCACACTGGGAGTAAGGGCAGTAGCTGTTGTTGAAGAGCTCGAGGATGCTCTGGTGGCACTGTTGGTAGTCCCCAGTGCCCTGGATTTGAAACTGGTCAAATGGTAGCTTCTTTTTGAATCTCTTGGTGCAGGGGGTGCCGTAGAGTTCACTTACATTCACCACCTTCTTGTATCCCGGGTGAAAGCATGGATCCCTGAGGGTCCCGCCACTTGAAACCTGAAGGGAAGAAGCACTTGGATGCCAAATGATCGTACCCGGAATGGCATCCCCATGGCCCTGTCCTGCCTTTACCACCCTTGAGAATATGTCTTTAAAAGAAGGGCTATAGACTAGGCCCTGTGTGCTAACCACGCAGACGAGGAGCAGGTCCACAGGCCTCCAGCCTGGGTGCAGCTGTATCTTCCTGCTGTCCCTTCTCCTCCCCAAGCAGATTGGGAGTTCCGGGAGTAGGGAGCTGCCTCAGGGCTTTTATCCTGGCAATGAAAAACAGATTTGAATCCCCAACAAAGAAAAGAGAGGCTGCGGTGGTTAAGAGTCATGTGGGCTTTGAGGTGTGGGGTGCCTCTCAGCTGAACCTGCTTCAAGGTTGATGATGGTGGTTTTAGGGACCAGAAAGTACATGAAGGAGAGTGCAGTCCTGTCCTTTCTTAGAGTCGGGACAGCTGGAACTTCCCTCTGTGTATACTTGCTAGGGTGTGTCCGGTACTCTCATTATATCAAGTATTTATTCTTGAATTGAAATCGCAGAAAACATCTGGGGAGAATCTCTAAAGTGCTGATTGACAAATTCTGTATTTTCCCTGCAGTGGTTTTTTTTTTTCTCTCTCTCTCTCTCTCTGATTAAAAAATGGTGTAGACAAACTTAACAAAAATGGCCACTCCTCCCCCAGAATAATACTCCAGCATGTAACTTGCATTATCAACACCACTGGGCCAAGAAATTAATTTCCAAGAAAAGATCTGAGTGATGTCCTTGGAGACAGTGCAGTAAACAAACATGGGAGGGATGTCTGGGCGGAACCATTCACAGGGGTCCACCAGATGTAGTTGGTGTCCTGCCTGAGAAGGGTGGGAAAGTGCCATGACCAGCTTCAGACCAAACCCTGAATTACAAAGAGGGGATAACGGGATGTGGGGGCTGCGGAGCAGATGTGGGGAGGGCAGAAGTGAATTCAGTTGCACTTGCCTGGATGTCCTTGGCTAGTTTCTGCCAGAGTGCCTGATCCTTCCCATAGCACAGGAAGCTGTGTGTGTACACGGTGTAGTCCTCACCATAGAGGCGAAACTGCAGAGAGTTTTCTGGGGCCTCTATAGTGTCGTTTAGGGGCACGAAGGTGATTTGTGTAGAGGCGCCACCGAGATCCAAAGCACCAAAGGTTTCCTGTTTCTGGTGGTCTGTGGAGATGAGGTTTAGCCAACTCTGTTTCTGAAAGAAAGGACAGTGCTAGAAGTCTCTGGACATCCTATCTCCTAAAGATGGAGGACCAGGGTCAGAGAGTGGGACAAACACCACTCTGGGTTCTGGAATCTGTACCAGACTGACAGACAGCAAGAGGGCTTTGAGGACAAAGCTCAGAGGACAGCAGTGTGGAGCCAGGAAACCCATAGCTCACAAACAGGAGCAAACCCCTACTCAATCACCAGCTAAATTCCCTGGGCCAGAAAAGATTCTATTTTAAGCATCATTATGTGGGGTGGGGTGGGGGGCTAATAGGGCTGGCAATGTACAGTGTGTGGGTGTCCTGAGAGTTGAGCTATGCCAGGGAAGAGCACTAAGCACTCCTTACTTAGCAAACAGTTTCATTTTGCTTTGTTTTAAACCTCCTCTTACTATGCTGCTCAGGCTGCACTCCAACTTGCAATTCTTCCTGCCTCAGTCTCTCTCAGTCTCCACCCAGTGAGTCTCAAATACGATGAAAATGATCTTAAATGAAACAGATGCGGGGGCTGGAAAGCTCGGTGGCTGAGCACACACACTGCTCTTGCAGAGGACTTGAATTTGTTTCTTAACGTAGGAAAGCTCACAACTGCGTGCAACTCCAGTTCCAGGAGATCCCACAGCCTCTGCTGACCTCCGAAAGCACTTGCACCCATGTGCACGTACCCACACACAGGCACATCATACACAAAATTTTTAAAAATAAAAATAAAAGGTTTAAAACAGATTCAAGTTTCCTCTGAATCTCCCTAGGATGAAGACACAGTGTCAATATTCTCCTGTAGTAACAATAAGGTAAATATACCTCTAGTAATGGCTACAAATGTAGGAGTACATTCATTGGTTCGTTTGTTCATTCATTCATTCATTCATCTGCCCATCATCCATTTTGCTAAAGGCCCAAATATTGCCTAAGACGGCAATGGCATTGACCCTGTAGGAACCGCCTTGTTGGTGTGAGGTATTTACCTGAGTGAATCTGCCCAGTAGGTAGTTGATAGTAATCCACCCATAGGCACCTTCCTCTTGGCCAGTGATGATCTTGGCACCCTGGAAGTCAAAGGGGTAGTTGCTAAGGCTTCTTGACACTGCAGTCAGGACACTGTCTGCCGATTGTTCACTTTCCATTCTACACAAAAGAAGAGGCGAGGTTATCGTTTTTTGTTGTCATACCTACCCATTTCAGCTAGAGAACATAACACACCAGAATGGGAGACAAAAGATCCCTGCACATGGCTTTCACAGGAGCTGTACATGGCTTTCATGGGAACCGTCGTTCTTTTGGCTCTGCCTCTCCAGAATCAAATCCTCCGTCACTGAGTAGATATGTCTTTTCAAAGTACCAGTTTGGCTTTGCTCCCTGACTCAAAGAGCATCAGAGGGTTTAAAATGACAGTGGTGGTAGCTTGGTGTTGTCTGGCCACATTCAGAAGGGGTATGTACTGCTTTAGCTGTCGCTGTGTTCCCTGCTTATATTTTAGACTCCGGGTGATGTCACTTAGGGCTATAGAAATGAGTAACTTATGCCCAAGTTCTCCCGAAACCGGCCTGGGAGAATCTTCCTCTTGTTATCATTCAGTTCTCAGATCTGTTTGAAACATTGAGACCTAAAGGGAGTCTTCAGGGTTGTCACATGAAGATGTGAGTATGTCCGAAACCCAGTCTGAACCCCTGAGAGCCCTGAGAGAGAGGGTGCCTGCCACTTTCCAGCCATGCGGCCTCAGGAGAGTGATGGCATTCATTCTCCAGCTAATATCTTTGCCTCATAGAGACCTTGCTGAAACAATGTGTGTCAAGTACTTAGCACGCAGGCTTCTGTTATTAGTTTACCCGTCTCCCTCCTTTCTATGCAGACCCTTCTGCGTATGACAGTTCTGTGAAAATCCTTGCCTCTGCCCTGGTCTCTCTCATTTCCCTCTCTTTAGAGCCCATCCACGAGAGCACAAACTCCATGAAGTCAGGAGCTGTGTTTTGTTCGATACTTTATCCCCGGCACTAAAACCATACACATACAGGTGCTGATCAGATGCCAGCACTGCCCTTCCTTCCCCTCCGGCCCCTCCTCCTGGTACAGTTGGTGCAGCCCTGCTGTGCCAGGCCATTCTGACCACCTTCCATCTGGAGCAAGGCCAAGCGCTCTCAGAGCAGCTCTGCCTATTCCTCTAACAACAACCACCCTGGATGGAAGTCTGATTGCCTTGAGGGCTGAGTGGCCTACTCACCTACTGTGGAGTGAGTAGGCAGGCACTCATAATACCCTGGATGAACAGAAGAAGATGGAAACAATTCACACAGGTACTAGCAGATGCTGCGCTTGCTTGTCTTGGAATATTGGTGGGCCTTCTTTTACCTTCTTCCTCCCAGACATTGATTGATTCTATCTTCAGTCCCAAACTCAGATTGTACATCCTTAATCTTTCTCTCCAATATTCTGTCCCCTTTGACTTCCCCAAGGGTGACACTGAAAACTGACCATTATATATACTTAGTAAAACGTATTTCTTATATTTATGGTTGTGAGCCTAGCCTTTAATGGCTGAGCTATCCCTCCAGCCTGTAAAACGTATTTCTTATCAAGGATTTGAAGTGTGAGGTAGCTCTAAGTCCCATAACCCTAGACACCCTGGCACCGCCTCTAACTCCTAGTACCCTAGCCTGTACAAGCTGCCCTACCTGAGTAAGCGCATGCCTGCTGTGGCTCCCAGGTAAACGGGTGTTTCGCGCTGCTTAGATGCTGGGATCAACTTAGTGGACATTTCCATGCATTCGGCTAGGTATGTGTCTATTTCATGTGTCTTCTGAGCATATTTTGAAATTCCAGGACCTAAGGAAAGATACAGAAGATGAAAAATAAATAAATGAATTTAAAATAAATAATGAATGCATTCATAAATGAATAAATAAATAAAGGTGTGGGGTGTACCTTGACCATATCAAAGAAAAGTGCTTGCAAAGAAGACGGAAGGAGACACTTCTCAATATGACCTACGTTATGCTGTGCTACTTAGAGTTCCAGAATAGTGATTAATGTTGATTGCCAACTTAATTGCAGTAAGAAGCACCTAGAGAATGAAGGAGGTGCCCTTTGGGCGTGTCTGTAAGGCTGGCTGGAGAAAGGCTTAACTGGAGGGGGAAAGATGTGAGCAGCCCCGCGCTGGGGCTCGGGTTCTAGACAAAAAATGGGAAAGGAGCAAGCTCCATGAAGCCCTTTCCTGCTTCATCTGCCCAGATGTAAAGAGCTCTGTTCGCCCTGCTTCCCCGCCACGATGGACTGATTCCCTTAGAACAAGAGCCAATATAAATACTTCCCCTCTTAAGTTGCTCTCTCAAATGTTTCATCATAGTCGTGAAAAAGTAGCTAACGCACATGGTATTGCTTGTGAGGTAATTTTTAAACCTTGCCTTGGTGTTCAGCAATTTAGCCACAAGGTGGTGCAATTTCACATTCAATTGAGTAATGTCCTCTTTCACTCCCGTGGCCTCTCCGTTAGCCACTTTTGGGTGATCCTGCCACAGAGTTGTAATTAGAAACATTAGTTCCCAGAGGGCCAAGGTAAAGATGGCACTTAGCATAAAAGTTAAAGCAAAGCACCAGAAACACCGACAGAACATGTTACCAACTGGCCATGTCATAGCATGTGCCCGAAAATGTGTGTGGTTTCTTCCTTTGTTGGAATAAACAGAAACAGAGTCTCCGTATCTGAGAGCCTTTCCCCCTCCAGCACCCTACCTCCCTACTAAGACTGTTATTCCAATTTCAGGGCAAACTAATGGTTGCTATGGAGAGTACTGGAGCCAGACTCCTGAGCGTTGGGAGTTTAACACTACCATGTTTCCATCTCACTCTGAGGTGAATTCCACACTGCTTCCTAGCAAGAATTGGCTTTCAAGGTGATTATTCAAAAGGGCTTTTAAACAGCCTGTTTGCTCAACATAATGAGACGCCCCATGCTGTGTTAGCAGGTCCCTTCTGATTCATCCTCCTTCCTTTCATTAACTCTGCTGGAGGAGAAACTCCTGTATTTGTGAGCCAAACACCTGCATTCATGGGATGAGTCTCAGAAGAAAGACATCTGTTGTAACTTTTTTATTTTATTTTAAAATTGAAAGACCGTGAAGTGAAGGGTGGAATGTCTGGAAACTCAAGGAGTACTGCCTCATGGAAGCAAGGCCTAGGAGGCTCTGGGCAGAATGGCATTCGCTCTTTATCCCTGCTTAAGTCCTTGGCATATCTGCAAGTCAGTGGAAGCTACAGGCCAGCAGATAAAAACCTGCTTCTCTTCTGGGATCTAGTTTACCTGTTTGAAAAGAAACAGTGTGTTCCTGGCTCTAAAGGCCAAGAGACAATGATCACAGGGATGGTGGTGAGATGTGGCGTCTGGTGCAGGACGGAGCAAGCCAGGGAGCTGGGCACTCAGCCATCCTCCCGGTGTGACCTTAAAATTAACTTAGGCGGCGGGGTGGGGGGTTCGTAAAGCAGCACTTCTGAGTTGCCTATAGCGCAGCTGGGTGCCTGGATCACCAGCCGGATTCTTGCCACTTATGGGGCACTACCCTCCGGCTTTTGTTCCCTTCCCTGGAAAACAAGATTTAAATGACCAGGCCCTAAAAGTCTGTGATCTGTTCTTCCCTGCCTGTAAAGAGACCGAAAGCATTTGAGATTTTCCTCCAAGTTGCAGATCTGAGTCTAAAAATAAAGAGAACAGGAGATCATGCCATCACAAGCACCCAGGGACTTTTAGAAACATAAATCCCCAGGCTCCAGCCCAGATATGTTGACTCAAGGAACTCTGGTAGTGGGGGCCTACATCCGTGCTCTGAGTCCCAACCCCGTCCCTACCCCCACCCAGTAGTTCACTGGCTCAGACGTGGGTCTGACAGGCAGCTGCGTCAGCTGCCAGCCTAAGTAACTTTAAACAAGTGGCATGACCTGTCTTAACATTTCTGCCCTCATTTTGAAAACATGGTTGCTGCTCCCCACCCAACTCCCCCTGAGAGGGAGAAAACTCTTAGTGCAGGACACACAGGAAAGCCTTACAGATGAGAACTATTACTGTGTGTGTGTGTGTGTGTGTGTGTGTGTGTGTGTGTGTGTGTGTTGCTGGGACTCTAACCTAAGACATCATGACTTTTAAGCCTGCACAACCCCGCCGAGCCGCACCTTCTACACCTTCAGCTGTTTTTAAATTTGCTTATTTTCCAAGGGTTGATTTCAATATTATTATTATTATCGTTATTGTTGTTGCCGTCAGTCATGGGGGTTGACCAGGTGAGGCAGATGTCTAATGCCGAGCTACATCCACGCCTGTTTGAGGCAGTCCCACAAGGCTGTCCAGGCTGGCCCGAAGCTCGGGAGCCTCCTGCTCACCAGCCTGTGCTGCTCGTCCTGCCTCAATGCCCGCTCAGTGCCCCTCGCTTGTCTCTGGGCGGCCCCTTTTGCTCTCAGGCTCTCCTGCCCCACCCTCCCCTCCCCTGGCCTCCCTCCGTCTTACCTTTCACTTGGCACTCTTGCAGCTGGTGCACCACTCCCGTGTCATTCTCCTTCTCAGCCGGCCACTTGTAGATGTACAAGTTGGTGTGAGAAGACCCCGCGTCCAGCACAATCCCGTACTGCGGGCGAAGCACATTTAAAATGCCTATCAGCACAACACACGCTTCTCCATAGTGAGCTCGCGGAGGAAGTAGACAGGGACAGTAATGTTCAAACCATAAAGAGAAAGTGCTGTAACCCAGGGGGAACGTTTGGTGCTGGGGACTGGAGTCATCCCGATCCCAAGGATTACCAGTGTACCGTTCCTCTCAGAAAGGACTTGTAAGGCTGCACCTTACAAACAGTCAGGCCATGCCCAGGGCAGGCCTGAGCCATGGGATTATTTAGAAAATGCTTTGTCATTTTGGTGCTGAAACAGCTGAGACACTGTGGAAGGATCAGAAAATAAATCCAGTGCTTCTCAAACTATCCACACCCTGGGATCACCTGAGAACTCCAGAGGCTGAGGCCCAGGCCCACCTCAGGTACTGGTTTCAAAGTGGTCTGGTCATGAGCATAGTCATGAGATGGTATGGGAGCCTGGTGTGCAGACAAGCCCGGCAACCCCTGAGCTAACCTACCATGGAGGCTGCGTAAGGAGGCAAAGGGCTGGGTCTGAGGCTCACTGCTCAGCTAGCCTGACCTAATCAGCAAGGCCCTGCCTCAGTGAGGGCTCTGTTCAAAGAATAAGCCCGTGCCTGGGGAGGAATGACACCTGAGGCTGCCTTCTGACCTCCACATGCAAATGTACACATGTGCAAGTGTGCCCGTGCACACACGTGTTCCTGACACAGGCAGAACAAGAGGAAATGGCCGTGTGAAGAGGCACTGGGCGGGTAGAGGAGAAAAGGGGAAGAGTGAAGTCCCCACATTGGGTTTTGTGAGTGAGTGGACGATGTACCAAGCAGGGACCCTGTGAAGCCATGTAGATGTGAGTTATCTTATTTAAACTCACAGCAATGCGGGAGGGAGGGGCTACTTTTATCCTTTCTGTATAGATAAGAAACTCTCAGGAGGTTGAAAAGTCTAGTTTGAATCGGGCTCAGAATCAAGACCTTAACCGTGGAAAATGGAGCGTCAGGCTTCAGGGAGGCTCTCCCTCCTAAAGACAACCCGGTTGTAAGGAAAACTCCAGCGTGGCACACAGATGCAAGGATGCACCCAGTGAACATCTGCTCAGGGCACACTCATCTGACATCAGCAAAATCAAGATACAGAATGTCTGCTAGCCACAGCAGGCTTCCTGACACTCCTCTAAGTCATTTTCTCCAAGAGCAATCACTGTTTTGATGTTTGTTACTACAAATGACTCTGTCTGTCGTAAACTGTGACAAAGGGAAACCAGGTGGCATACTACTGGGTGCAATCTCCTTCACTCTGCACTGTGAAATGCATCCACACTGTGTCCTTTGCTCATGCGTTTCCAATGCTGTAGAGTATTCCACTATGTGTCTACACTGTCTTTTCATTCATTCTACTGTTGACAGACATTTGGTTTATTCATAACTGAGACTATTAGGAATATAGCTGCCTTGAACATTCTTGTGAATCTCATGTTTATGGAATAAAAGCTTACATTTTTTTTTTTTTTTTTAGCTCTCTCTCCCCTGGAGTAGACTGTCGGGTGTCCATTTTGATAAAATGATATTCAATTTTGATTATATTCCTAAATTGGGGTTAGCGCTAATGTTGATTAGTGATGTCTGCCATAGGCTTTGTGAGAATAACATGGTGACACATATAGTTTGTTTCCTTACATAACTATGCGTAAGTGATGTCTGGTGAGAATGTATGTCATGTACATATTGGCACACATGTGTGAGTACATGTGGAGGCCCAAGGATGACACCAGGGGTCTCCCTTAGTTGCTCTCCCCCTTGTTCACTGAGGCGGGATCACCAATACAGCTAGTCTGTCTGGCCAGTTTGCTATGGGGATCCCTATCTCCACCGTCTGAACGGTGGAACTATAGACAGGTTGCTACACCCTCCAATATTTATGTGGGTCTAGGATTGGAACTCTGGTCCTCCTGCTTGCTAGCAAGTGCTTAACTAGAGCCGTCTTCCCAGGCCTAGAGCATGCAGGTTTTACTCATCTCTAATGGGGAAGCAAGAGAAGAAAAGTAGAAAATGGTGCCATCTGAGCTGTGCAGTTCAAAATGTGGTCTTCCACTTGAAAATTGCTAATATACATGTGTGTGTCTAAATGTAATATGCATTTATATAAGTCCATAATGTCTCACTTACTAATACCCAAGAGCTGACAGGCAGAAAAGACAGGAGTGAGTATGTGAGATGCCTCCCTGGGCCACTAGGAATAGCTAAAGGAAGGGCCTCTTGGGTTCCTAGAGTCATTCCATTTCACCACTGTACAGACCTCCTCGGGATCTTTGATCCCCCTCCCCAAATCTCCTCAGTGTTTTCTGCCTCCTTGTGCACTGTGGGAGGGGTCTCCTTAACTATTATTACCTTTTTGGGCTCAAAAAAGTAATATCTGTATCAATATAACCAAGAAGCAAACGCAGGCTCCTCTGGGTCCTGGGACTCCAAGAATTGGCTTAGTTAGGCAGAGGTGGTTGCTGACTGAGGTCTGGAGCCTTGAGACCCCAGGGAACCTCCCAGGGTTTGAGAAAAGGCTCTCCCAGTTATACAATAAAAAATTCCATTGATCCCCAGCAGGATTCCTGAAATGTTCCAGCCACAGTGGCATATGATAAAAGCTATGGAGACAGCAGCAAGCGGCCTTTATCTGGCACCAGTATGTCCTAGTCTTTCTATTTTCGTAATCATGAAAGCCCCCCTTCCAGGAGCGCCACGGAGCTGGCCCTGCTTCTGTCGGCCTCTTTCTCTAAGACCCTATGCAGTGAGACAGTGCAGAGATGAAAACGTTAGGGCATTTGCAAGTATTTCAGACGGTGGCCCTGTACACCCCACAAGGATCTGCGCGGCACTGAAGGCTAACCTGCGAACCGTGCCCACCGAGGGTCGGTTTAGGTTGCCTCTAAATTGTTTCATAGAGCCAACAGTTGACATTTTGAGAACAGCTAGAGCTGGACAGTCCATGCGGTCGGCCTACACCTTTGGGGAGTTTGCCCCTTGTGGTTTCAGGGCCTCCCTGCCCCCCGCAAGCCCAGATCGCCCCCACCTCATGCCTGTGCACCATCACAGCAGTCTCCAGAGTATGCTCCAGGAAGCGCAAAGGCCGCTGGATCTCAGCAAATTGGGGAATGTCCCTTTTCCCTCCCTCCTGGACTCGCCATCCCATTAGCTAGTGAATACTTCAGGGAAATCTGACCATAAAGGAAAAAAGTCTTCCTGTAGCTCATATGTAAAGCATTTCTAAAAATTCCTGAGTATGACTTTTATATTAAAGAAAAAGATTAAGATTCCAATGGTGAGGAAGAAATCTGGCATTCCATTATTATTATTAATAATTCAATAGTATTTCCCACTTTAAGAGTACTGAAGACCTATTAAATATCATCTAGAAAACGAAGGGGAAAGACATTTAAAATTCCATCTAGATGCTTTTATTATTAGTTTATCAGCAATCTTTGCTTCCTTCCAGTCTTTTTTAAGAGTGCGTTCTCCACAGGATAGTGACCTTTCTGTGCAAACGACCTTGGTCTAGGCCACCAGCAGCCCCTTACTAGAAAGCAATGATGCTGGTCTTCTTTACACACTCTACCCCAAACACATAGCCCCTTGCTGTGGCTTAATGGCTTCCTCTCCAGAATGAATGTGCTGGAAATTGACTCCCCCTGTGAGTACACTGGGAGGTGGGGCCTGATGGGAGTGTGCTTGCCTGCAGGACAAGAAAATGCTACTTTCGTGAGTAACTTTGTGAGCCAATGAGTTGGGCTTTGGGGAGCGGGTCTGTCTTTCCCTAACCCACTACCATAGCAAGAGAAGTGGTGTTCCCCTGCCAAGAATGCAGAATCCAGGGTATCATTTGGAATCAGAGATTCGTACTTGCTAGACTGGAAGTACATAAGTTCATGACCTTGGGCTTCCCACTCTCCAGAAGTTGGAGAAAGTAAATGTCTAGTCTTTACAAATTACACTTTGGTGGTAGTCTGTTATAGCAGTTCAAAGGGGACTGTGACTCCAGCTACCAGGAGCAACTTCCCACCACCACCACCACCACCACCACACACACACACACACACACACACACACACACACACACACACACACACTTGTCTTTAACTTCAGCAGCCCTGTTGGTCTGGCCTGGGTTTATAAACAAAGCTTATCTTTTACAATGTGTTTCTAATCCCTGTAAACAGGCTAGGCTAGCCACAGAGATGCCAGCAGAGCTGATAAACATCAAGAAACTATTTATCCTCTTCTTTTTTTTCTTTAGTTAGAGTTATTAGTTCTTGAATATAAACTCGTATTTTGTTGGTTTTAACCCTTTGTACTATGTGAACCATTTTATGGTTGTCGATTACATTCTCATTGTTGTACACCAATCACCGCCATCCATTTCCAGGTTCTGATTTTAAAACTGGATACTGTTAAATTACATTAAAGCAAAAATTACAACAGCTATTTTACAAGGGTCTTTAAGAGTGCAAGCCAAAGCAAATTCTTTTAAATTCTCCATAAAGATAGAATCACAAATGCCTATTCCAGAGCACTGTTTTCTCTGCTTTGGAAAAGCGAATCTGGGGAAGAGTGCTGGCTCAGAAACCCCAAGGCACAGAGAGGGAAGGTACCCACAGCTCGTGTTTTGATAGATGTCCTGACAGGCCATCTCTTGCTTTATTCCACTTAATGTCAACCCATCCTCCAAATAGGTGTTATTACTATTTGCTTGACATGTAGGGAAAATGAGGTTTAAAGGAAGGGATTTACCTGTTTAAAGCCAGTGTTACTGGGATTGAAATAAAAATCCTGCCCCCTGAGCCTACTTTCCACAGTAAGGGCATCTTGAACACAAGCCTGAGGTTTGGTATAGAGCCAGTTAGCATATCCAAATGCGAATGTTCATGTGAAAAGGCATACCAATGGCCAGTGGGGAATTAAGGAGTGGTGGACAAAGCAAAACTCAAAGCATTTTCCCCACCTAGACAGACCCATGAAGACAAAAGCATCCTTTCAAGAACAAAACTAGACATTACTATGGACTGTCCACTCCACTGAAGTCTTTCTTTTAAGAAGTGCAGATCGGTCATCTAAAAGTGCATACTTAGTACTGATACTCAGGAATTCACTGACTTCCCTGGCAAGAGAATGCCTTAGGATATCTACTGAGGACAGACTCCTGAGCTTTCTTTTTAACATTCACACTGAGGGTAAACAGGATGTCTGGAGGGCCCTGGGCTGGTAGTCAGCCACCTCCATTGATATCCCTTTGTCCAAGAAGGAAGCAGTTTTTTCTTCAGATTCCATTCACTCTACTGAGTCAGCAAATTTCTATAGTATCGCCATTCAAGTTCTGGACTGGCTGTGAGCTAACACTTACATTGTGATTATTTTCTCCCTCTCGGTGTATATACTTCCCAATGTCGCTCACTGGTAAGTTTCCAGAACCTCAAACAAGGCAGACATTCAATGACTGTCGAAATGAATGAGTACATAAAATGTATGCAAAGACAAAGGAAACCCAGTCCCCGGCCTTAGTATGTTTAGAACTGAGTAGTATGCGGCCAAATAAGTATTTGGACACAATAAAGTGTTCTTGCTGTGTTATGACAGATGTGCCCCAGGCATGAGGCCACCACCTCCCCAGCAAGACTGAACCCAAACCATGTTAAGCAGAAATAAAACAAGGGTAGATCATCTGCATAAAACAAAGAGTCTGTTTACAGATTGTTTATATGGTCATTTGAGAAATGAGTGTAATCAATTCTGCATGTCTGTAGATTCTGCACCCATGGAGAATGGCAGGAAAAATATGGCAGATGGCAAAGAAAAGTACACCAACAGAAGAGCAAAGATATTTCCTAAAATGTGTTCACACTACCTTTACCCCTTCTTCTTGCCATTGTTCCCTAAGCACTAGTGTGAACAGCTATTTGCATAGACTTTATATTATATTGGGCTTTATGGGAAATCTAGAGATGATTAAAATGTATAAAAATTATATCTCAGAACTTCAGATGGGTTACACACAAATGGTACCCTTTGGGTATCATAAAGGGCTTGACAAGCCACAGGTATTTTTTTAAGTATATATTTTTTAATTGATTCTTTGGGAATTTCACATCATGCACCCCAATCCCCACTCATTTTCCAGTCCTTCCAAATCCACCATTCACCCTTGTAACCACCCCCACAAAAGAAAATAAAAAAATTAAAATTAAAAAAGAAAGAAAGAAATCTTGCCAACCCTTCTGGGCAACATCCTGCTCACTCTATCAATCACAGCCTTCTCTCACAGCTGTCACATCCCCACTCCTGTCTCCATCACACATCTGCTTATTGCAGCAGCACTGGGTGCTGTGGTGTCTCACACAGTAGACCCCTTTGCCCAAACAGCTTTACTTGCAAAATGTCCGTTGCAATGAGTCCTTGTTTTGGTTCAAGGTCACTGGCTTCTGCTTCACCATAAAGACCAGACCCTCTCTGAAACTCCTCTCTGATGTCCTGCTGTTGCCCAGAGTCATGGAGGTCCTGTGCCTATGGTTCCATCGGACAGACTCCTCCTTGCCCTCCAGCAGCTCATGGATGGGGCAGATGTTGGGGTGGGCCAACTCAAGGCCCTAGATGTTACCTGAATTGGTCAGCCCACGGTCCCCTCTGGGCCTCATCCCACTCCTGCAAGGGGCAGGGCCAGCTCTCAAGGCTAGCCACAGATTTTGATACTCAAGGTGGGTGTCTTGGAACCCACAGACTTTGAGGGCCAACTGTGCTTTTACCAATAAACTTCTCAACATAGTTTAGTAGGCTGTGATGTATCAACCACATAATAAAAATGGTTCCATTTTTGTTTCTTATTTTAGATTTTTTAAAATGTTGTCTCATACTCCATATTCACTCAACTGAGGTTTGAACCATTTCAGAGATTTCATCCGAGATTACACTCCAAAGCAGCAATGTCCAATAGACCCTCTATAGTGGTGGACATCTGTCTGTATTGTCTAACATTTCATTCCCAATATGTGACTGAAATCAGTAAGGAACTTCAACAAATGACCAGCTTTTGTATGTAAAATTATCTTTGTACCAAATGCATCAGCAACATTCCCGTATCTACTTCGATGGCAGCAGCTGCTCTTGCGACACTATTACCTTTTATTTAACAGATGCCAAAGACCTGGTTCCCTTTTCCAAAACAGCACAAAAGCACAATAGACTTGAAGACCACTGTGAGTGAAGGACCCAGCCCTGACCACAGCAAACACTGGGAACACAGAGCTCAAGTGTACCTCCTCAGCAGCCCTTTTCCCCTGTGATGCAATACTGAACATGCAGAAAGGTCAGATCAAGAAGGCACTCATTTGCTCTTGGAGCTGGTAAACAAATAGCAAAACCAAGATGTCATGAGGCTTCAACTGTGAGTGAAGTCTTGCCAAGAGAACCAGTTCCACGAAACATTAAAAGGCAAGAGACCACCACCAACGAGGCAGCGCCAGCTTCTGCCCTGACAAAGCCGCTGCTGTTCACAGCATATAACTGGAATGAACTTATGTGACAGATACCAGTGGGGCACCCATGCCCTTCTACACAGCAAGTGATGTGGGTGGGTGGCAAAGGTTTCAGAAGCAGGGTGTGCATCTGACTTTCCAGGCTCAGTGGCCATCATCTTCTCATCAGAAGAACAGACAGACTTCAAAATATGTGTCTCAGGACTTCACTTCTGCACATGTCACTTTGCACATGTACATAGGTGCTCACTGGCCCACACATGTGAGGTGGGCCCTCTACAGATACATTTAAATTTAAAATGCTATACTTATAATGCATATATAAGCTTACCATGTTTTTTAAATTAAAAGATAAAACAAAACAGTGACTGCATTACAAATATTTGTGATTTCACTTGCCTTAACATTTTCTGGCAATGGTTTGTTCTGGGTCAATCCCACAGCAATCAAAGCTATCACAGCCAAGACAGAGGAGAAACCAAGGATGATCAGGATGTTTTTGGAGCAAAATCTCTTCACCTTAGATTCTAAAACCAAAAATAAAACATGAGTAAGAAATCAATAAACAATGATTTTTCTTGCCTTTTTGTCTGGTTTTAAGATGGATATCCAGAAACACCAGAGACATAAACAAGGAGCCTATCTGTATCCACAAGGTACTTCCAAATAATTGGAAATAATTCAAGAATAAAAAGTTTTGTCTAAACTACAAAGACTAAGCCAAGCTGGTGACATGGAAGAAAGAATGGGCAAAATCAGGCCACTCACAGGGATTGAACGGGGAAGAGTATCATGGCTGCCTTATTTATGGGTCTGGTGTATCTATACAAGACAAGTAACAACTAACAGACGACAGAATAGACCTCTTCATCCTTAAAATATACACACACACATAAAATGTTTAATTTGCTGCTAAAAAAAGACATCAAGCATAGGTACACCATCAAACGTCAAATACCACCACTGCAAAACATTTTCTGGCTCGACACAGCTTTTGGATCCCAACACCTTTATATGATAAGCTGGCAGTCACCTTAAGACTGAGAAGTTTTGAACTCTTCAGCTAATCTTTTTTGGGTTTAGTCATACCCTAACAAAGGACATTTTAAAAGCTCTACTTGAAGAATTACATGAAGTTACTTCACCTAGACTTAAATAGATCACATAGAGGACATGAATCAGAAATGGAAGTTTGCATCAAGACTTGACCTCTTCTTTAGTCAGTTTCTCAAACTATCTTCAAACCTTTCCTTCGACTCTGGGGAAGGATGGGAACACTTAATGCAGAATTATCTGAAGAGGAGATGGGTTCTCCAAAGCAGTTTACCTTTCTCTGAGGACAGAGTGAGTTCAGGAGAGGTGAGAGACAGACCCACACTTCCTTCTCCTCAGCAGCTGGCTAGGCACTGACATGGGGATTCTTCCTTACACTCTTGAGCAGCAGCCTAAACGTTTCCAGGATTATAACATGGGTACTTAATCTACCCCAACCCCCAGTCTTCAAGAAGTCTCAATCCATCAGGCCAAACGGGACAAAACTCAAGAAAAATGCTAGCAATACCATTCATTACCTCTTACTTCCAGAGAAGAAACAGTAAACTAAACCCACAGCACTTCTGTCCTCTCTCCCTGAATAAACAAACACCTGGTTTAGAATCCTGCCTCCCCAACCTAAGGAATGGACATGTTTAGTTTGTGTGATCACACGTCCCTACCAGGAAAGGTATCTACAGTGGGTTGATACCTAATCACTGCCCCGACAACCTGACACGTGCTTGAGCAAGACGAGTGGAAAAGTGGAAACATTCTCTCTTCCATTGCCCATTCCTTGGCGAGATGACAGACACTGATGGCAGAGCTGAGAGATGGAGGGAACCTGAGTCTCAGGGTCATTTTGAGATGCTAAATTGACCAACCTTGTGCTCATCTTCCCATGAAATTACACTTTGACCTAACACTAAGATATTAATCACCCGAACCTAAGACATCCATGTATAGGTGCTGTGGCAGAAAAAACAAAACAAAACTGTCCTCTTTGATGCCAGAACTGGGGGTCAGGAGTGTTAGGAACTAGCAGCCAGCTGACCTCCGCCCTGATGATGGGCGGGATGCTCATGGCCATGTCATCACTAAGTCAGCCTTACCTGGCTGCCAGAGGACTCAGTTACGCATGCGCAAGCCCCCTTTTCTTGCCCCCCCCCCCGCTCTCTCTCTCTCTCCCCTGCTTTCGGTTGGCCACCAGCTACCCCCTCTTTCTCTCCCCTCTCTCAATAAACTCCACGTGGGCGCTGAGTCTCGTGTTTGTGTTTCTCAGGCATTAGTTGCAGCAAAAGAACAACAAGGAGGGTTAGTTATCTCTGTGAGTAGTCTTCTTCATTTCCAAAGTTATGAAATTAAAACAGTGTTATCAAACATGGACTCCAGTCAATCGGTTCTAACGTGGATGGTTAGCATTTTGTAGCCATGTGTCACTTGCAATAGAATTTTAAATGTTATTTTTCCATTCCTGAGGCTGCTGTATTTCCTTTTCATAATGACAATTTTGCTGACTCATTTTCCTACCACATCTATTATAAACATTATTCTTAGCATCTAAACTACATGAAGGAAATCAACATGATTTCTACTCTTTAGAATTAGCCTTTCATTGAGAGAGAGAGAGAGAGAGAGATAAAAAAAATAGAGATTATATGAATTTACATGATTTCAGGTTATAATAGGTGCTAAGAAGAAACTAAAAACCAAGAAATATGGTCAATTAATTGCGGTAGAGTTGGGGCTTGGGACTTGAGGTAGATAGTGTTAGATTATAGGTCAAGAAAATGTCTCTGATGTTTCCATTAATAATTGGGTGATGAGGAAATGCCAGTTATGTGAAGGAATAGGAACATTCCAGAAAGAATATAACTTTGCTTTTCCTTTTCCTGAGCAAATATTTGTTAATCACTTTTCATATTTACCTTGCTCTTGTGATGATATCCACATTGCTAGAATACATTCAAGTCCTTTACCATATTCTTATTTCTTATTAAAGATAAGCAAAAGGACTTAAGTATATAAATTTTTCATGTATAACTTTCAAAATCTTTACTACCAAAAATATGGCTGTTTGTTTTTCATGTAATTACCCCAAGAGGAGTAACCAAAATGCTGTGTCTTCTCACAGACTTCGCAAAAGCCCCGATCACAGGCAGGAAACCAGACATTTCACAGGAAGTGGTGCTAGATGTGAGGTCCAGGCTGGCCGAAAAGGGAAGGACAGGCTGCTGGAGCACCCTGCCCAGCATGTGGAAGTCTCTGGGTTCGATTTCCAAGAGTGAAAAGGGAAACAGGGTTGGGGAACCTCATTCGTCACTCTTGCTTTGGTGTACAGATCTTTCAGATCCGGTTTTACTAAAACAGTCATATTTATTAGGAAAACTCATACAGACTATCTTCTGCATCGAAAGTTCACTTCAGTGACTCATCGGTAACAGAGAGGAGGTTTCCATCACTTAATGTAAAGTGGTGTGTGGGTTTTCTGTTTTGTTGTTGTTTGTTTGTTTGTTTTTTTGAGACAGGGCTGAAATCACCCATGCTTGCCTTGAACTTGCTGTGTAATTGAGGATGACCCTGAACCTCTGATAAACAAGCATGTGGCATTTATCAGTTTTATATGGTTCTGGGGATCAGACCCAGGGCCTTATACATGCTAGGCAAGCATTCTACAATTGAGCTACATCCCTAGCCAACAACATGACTTAATTATACTGCAAAGTTCAAAGCTGCCACCTTCTTCACATTTCCTCCCTTTCACATGACAGGTAAACAATTTTTTCTGTTTAACTTCAGAGAGCCAAGCACTAAGTAATAACTTCTACTCTTTGTCTGACAGAAAGATCTGAAAGAAGCCCAAATTTTAGTAAAATACAAACTAATTTCAAGCCAATAAGCTACAGAAAAAAAAAATCCCTAATTCAACTCTTCATTCTTGAGATATCCTGTTAGAGTCTTATTAAAGTGAAAAAAAAAAAATCACAATTAGTTCATCAAAATGTCACCGTAGAGAGAAATCCTAGGATCTCTCTTACATGACACCAAAAATATAATCTTTCAAACATTTTCCATCCATAGAAAGCTTTTTGATGTTGACAGATGTGGTGAGTCTCAGGCAAAGGCAATCGAATCCCAACCAATTGAGGAGGCTGCATCCAATTTCCTGGGGGTCACATCCGGAGCAGTAATGGCTTGTCATGGGAGACTACAGCACCCATGGGCAAGTGCTGACAAAAGGCAGGGACACACTGCCACTGCGGTGGCCTGTGCTTCCAACCAGGGGTGGAATGCTCATGGGCGTCAGTCAGAGGCATACTGCAGCCTCATCCCCTCCCCCCTGAGTCAGTCCTCCCCACTGTCCCTGCCACCCTCCTCTCGTCCTGTCCGTCAGAGGACACACATCAGAGGACACACACGTAGGCCATAGTCATGTTTGCGGCCTTTATGCCAGGTTCCTTGGATACAGCCACCCCCTTGCTCTTGACACGCCCATATCATCTGATCCAGTCCCTTTCCGGGACTCCCACACTTCCTGCTTCCATTCCCTTCAGAATCCATCTTTGGGATGATTGTAGAGATTCTCCTATAACCCAGAGTCTTCCTGACTGAGACTCCATGGTAACTTCCTGCTGCCTGCTGTGTCTAAGATCACAAGGACTGATATTCCAGCACTACCAGTAACATGTGCTCCCTGAGGACAGGAACTATTTCTCTGGCTTGTTCAAAGCTGGGAGCCTGTGGCAAATGAATGAGTGACTTTTGAATTCTCATATCTTTTTTTCAATGTGACATTTCCTTCACTTGGAATTGAATTCTCCCCATTCCTCACCGAGTCTTTTTCTTTGTTGCTCCAATGTCAGGCTCAAGTGGAGGTTAAACTCCTCTTCGTACCTTTCCTCCCCCTATTAGAATAAATTGATTTTTAAAAAAATTTTAAATTGCATTTGTTTAGTGTATGTGAGTGTTTCTAGGTGCACAGGAGCCAGGACACGTGTGTGGTGATCAGAGGGAAACTTGCGTAAGTCAGTTCTCTCCTTCCATGTCAATTGTAGAGACTGCACTCAGATCATCGGGCTTGGTTGCAGGTATCTTTCCCTGCTATTCTAACTTGTAGTGTCTGTTCTGTGTGCTAAGCTCTAGTCAAGCCACCTTGGTTTCAGAGTTCTACAGCTTTGAATAGTAGGCTATGCTTTGTCCACTCTTTCAATTAGGTATTCAATAATTATTGAATATACCACACTATGAGGCTAGACTTGCCTGTGGCTCTGTGCTATAGTAGTGAACAAAACACACAAATATTTTTCACATTCATGCAACTTATAGTCTAGTTTGGAAGTAAGACAAAAACAGTAAAGAAAGAAAAGTTACAAGAGGAATGAGGCAGCCAGGGAAGGACTTTGAGATGATCTTGAGTGAGTCAAGAGGATAAGAACACTTAAGTCATCTGGAGCTGTATGGGAAATAGCCCTGAGGCAGGACAGTGCCTGTCCAG